GGGAAAGAGCAGTGGCTGACTGGTGTTTGTTTGTAGATCTCTGAGGAGTGGTCTAAAGGAGTCTTCGTGGTGAACAAAAGCGATGAGGATATCCACACTGCCAACGAACGCAGACTGAAGGTTTGGGTCCTCTAACCTCTCTCTAACCTGCCCGCTGCTCTGTAGCTCGCTCTGCCTGACGTTAAGTCCACGTGCCTCTGTCCCACGGTAAAATAGCTCAGGACCTTGTGGGCACTGAAACCCCGGGGGGAAGGGGGCACAAAAAAAGTGTCTCCAAGACCCCTTTTGTAGAAGAGACGCCGTACAAGCGTAGAACCCACGCTCGTCCTGCCCCAGAAGAGATCCCATGGCTACTTACAGGAGCCTAGAGCTCAGTCCTTCCAGGCAGGGTGGGTCTGCTCTCCCTGGGAGCCTCATGCTTACAGTTCAGAGACACTGACACCAATCCTCCTCTGGTCCTCAGGAGCTGATTGGAGATATAGCTGGAAAGCTGCACACTGGAAGAAGCAGAAATGATCAGGTAGGGATACCACCAGTTGATTTCTCCTTCTCTGCACCTCCCCTTCCTCAGTTTCAGGAGACCACTAATCAGAACGGGCTTTGGTCCTGCTCCTGGAGAGCAAGACATAGTGACTTTTGCTTGTCAAAGTGGCCAAAGACACAGCTGATAAGAGGGGAGATGTCCCCTCCCATCAGGCTCTCTGCTGAACACTTTGGTCACAAGGTATGTCGCATTCCACTCTGGCTGACGGTGGCCAATCTCACCCCAGGTTGTGACCGACCTGAAGCTGTTCATGAAGAACTCCATCTCTGTGCTGGCCACTCACCTGCTGCAGCTCATTAAGACCCTGGTGGAACGTGCTGCCATGTAAGTCCTTTCCCAAGGCCACCGCCTCAGCCTTTCGAGGGGCAGGAGACTTGCAGGCTTCCTCTTTGACTGACACCAGTCGGGGCAGCAACAAGATCTTTCTCTCCTTTCACCTGCAGAGAAATTGATGTTATCCTCCCTGGCTACACTCATCTGCAAAAAGCTCAGCCCATCAGATGGAGCCAGTTCTTGCTCAGGTAACCATCTCCCATCCCCAGCTGTAGCAAGCCTTCGCCACCCCCAGGGCCCTGCTCAGCCTGAGCCTAGAAGGGCATCATCCTCTGATGCGGCAGCCGGGGGTGACACACCAAAGCCAGCCTCGCAAGCTGGAACTGGAACTGCCCACGGCCAATACACCTTGGTTCTGACCCCACAGTCTAGGCTAGTGACAGGGGAACCAAAGCCTGAGCGGGCCGTGGAGGCGCACTCGCTGGGTGCCCCATCCCTTGGCCAGACTTACACCCCAGCTCACGGGAGTAACGTGGAGAAGTTTGTACCGCTGCTGGCTCTCCCACTTCTCAAGGGCCTTGCGAGCCTGAGCTCCACTTCTGCCTCTTCCGTCCCAGAGAGCCTCCTCGGCTCCAGGCCTGCCAGCCTACTGCTAGGGGAGGGAAGCGTGACATTTCCTGACTCTACCTCTCATGCCCTTTCCTAGCCATGCTGTTGCACTGACCCGTGACTCTGAGCGCCTGGGAGAGACAAAGAACAGGATCAATGTCTTGCCCTTGGGAAGGTAAGGTCTACATTCTGCCTAATGCTTAGGCCTCACTCTGCTCTGCAAAATGCCTAAGAGGCACCTGAGAAAGGTGCCATGTCAGGACTGACATACCCACTAGACAGAGGCGATTCTTCTCCCTCCTCCTCCAAATCAAGAACTAAAAGGTTTTCATCAAGAAAACCTGCTCCCGGGCAGAGAAGAGGAACTTCTGGTTCCAAGTCCAGAGTTTGCCGAACCACAGGCCACACAGTAGGGAGCAACGAGACGCCACAATGAGCCGTGCAAGTCTTAGGATAGGCTCTTCTCTGCCTCCTGGAGCTCAGCTTTGGTTGGAGGGTGCAGGATGTCACGCCTAACTTCTGTTGCTTTCTTCCTTGGCAGCGGTGCTCTGGCTGGCAACCCCCTGGATATCGATAGAGAGCTGCTGCGCAGCGGTAAGTGTCTCCCGATGACTGAGTGGCAGAGGTCTAGCCCTAGTATCTCAGAGGGAGGGAAGCACTGACGCGGTGTCCTGACGCTAGCTGGAGATGGACTGCGGCCCCTTCACACAGGCATGGAGGGAAATACATGCAGCTCCCAATGACTCTGCGAGGCCTTGTCTTGGAGCCAGAGCCCTTGTTTCCTAAGGCTCTTTGCGGCCAGGAGACAGCTGATGCTTGCAAGGTGGGAGCAGGGACACAACCACCTCTCTTGCACCCTGGCAGCCTGGGGCAAATCACAAAGGCCCCAGCTCAGCATAGCACTCTAGCAGGTCTGCGTCCCTCAGCCGTACCTCCAGCCTTACCTCCAGCCTGCCACAATCTGCTGCAGTCAAGCTCTACTCGTGCCAAGGCTGAGCTCCTCTGTCCACCTCTTTCCTTACAGAGCTGGACTTTGCTTCCATCAGCCTGAACAGCATGGATGCCATCGGCGAGAGAGACTTTGTGGGTGAGCACACCTCTATCGTTTCTTTCCTCCCTCATTTTATAACCCTGCTTCTAAGACCTTCCCTGTTAACTTGGTTTAGCAAGAGGACTAAAGTGCCTCACCAGGAAGTAAATATACAAACAGTCTCTTTGCAAGTGTCTACAGCCTACCTTGATTAGGATACATACCTCATTCGTAACTGGCCCAGCTAACAGCAATGCCTGCCTGCTTAGGCTGAGTCGCTCAGTCATTCACGCTAAAGTCATACTGGCTGAAACAGTATGTAAAGCAGGAGAATTCCTTTTCCTGGAACAATACACAGTGATCCTGCCGCAACTGAGCAAACCTCTTCAAAAGCTCTGCCTAAGAGGCACCTGAGAAAGGTGCCATGTCAGGACTGACATACCCACTAGACAGAGGCGATTCTTCTCCCTCCTCCTCCAAATCAAGAACTAAAAGGTTTTCATCAAGAAAACCTGCTCCCGGGCAGAGAAGAGGAACTTCTGGTTCCAAGTCCAGAGTTTGCCGAACCACAGGCCACACAGTAGGGAGCAACGAGACGCCACAATGAGCCGTGCAAGTCTTAGGATAGGCTCTTCTCTGCCTCCTGGAGCTCAGCTTTGGTTGGAGGGTGCAGGATGTCACGCCTAACTTCTGTTGCTTTCTTCCTTGGCAGCGGTGCTCTGGCTGGCAACCCCCTGGATATCGATAGAGAGCTGCTGCGCAGCGGTAAGTGTCTCCCGATGACTGAGTGGCAGAGGTCTAGCCCTAGTATCTCAGAGGGAGGGAAGCACTGACGCGGTGTCCTGACGCTAGCTGGAGATGGACTGCGGCCCCTTCACACAGGCATGGAGGGAAATACATGCAGCTCCCAATGACTCTGCGAGGCCTTGTCTTGGAGCCAGAGCCCTTGTTTCCTAAGGCTCTTTGCGGCCAGGAGACAGCTGATGCTTGCAAGGTGGGAGCAGGGACACAACCACCTCTCTTGCACCCTGGCAGCCTGGGGCAAATCACAAAGGCCCCAGCTCAGCATAGCACTCTAGCAGGTCTGCGTCCCTCAGCCGTACCTCCAGCCTTACCTCCAGCCTGCCACAATCTGCTGCAGTCAAGCTCTACTCGTGCCAAGGCTGAGCTCCTCTGTCCACCTCTTTCCTTACAGAGCTGGACTTTGCTTCCATCAGCCTGAACAGCATGGATGCCATCGGCGAGAGAGACTTTGTGGGTGAGCACACCTCTATCGTTTCTTTCCTCCCTCATTTTATAACCCTGCTTCTAAGACCTTCCCTGTTAACTTGGTTTAGCAAGAGGACTAAAGTGCCTCACCAGGAAGTAAATATACAAACAGTCTCTTTGCAAGTGTCTGAGCTCCAGTCAGAGTTCCTTGGGTTGTCAGCAAAGCCGTTTATAACCTCCTGATTTCCCTTTATACAAACAGTCTCTTTGCAAGTGTCTACAGCCTACCTTGATTAGGATACATACCTCATTCGTAACTGGCCCAGCTAACAGCAATGCCTGCCTGCTTAGGCTGAGTCGCTCAGTCATTCACGCTAAAGTCATACTGGCTGAAACAGTATGTAAAGCAGGAGAATTCCTTTTCCTGGAACAATACACAGTGATCCTGCCGCAACTGAGCAAACCTCTTCAAAAGCTCTCCCAAGTCTCCAGCTCCAATTTCTAGCTTTTCTGGCTTCCACTGAGGCATAAATTACTTCACATATTTTATAGCCCATCAGGGATTCTGCCCCTGTTCAGTGTTCCTGCACCTAAGCAACCTGGGTTGTCAGCAAAGGCGTTTATAACCTCCTGATTTCCCTCCTTCTCTGCAGTGGAATTCCTCTTTGTTGCCACCCTGCTGATGACCCACCTTAGCAGACTGGCTGAAGATCTCATCATCTACAGTACCAGCGAGTTTGGCTTTGTGACCCTCTCAGATGCCTACAGGTAGGTTTCTGGGTTTCTAGGCAGAGAGTTTGTCCCTCTGTCTCTCCTCCTCAGTTACCCACATCTCGGGTGACTTCCTGAAATCTGTATGCACTGGACACTCCTCCCCAGCAACTGCCGGCAGGATCGAGCTGTAGAACAGCAGGCAGAGAAACTTCCTCCTCTGCTGGGAATTCCTGCCAAAGCCCTTCCTTGAATTGCTGTGCTTGCAATCCCAACACTCTTCCTGTTCCTCAGGGGGGCACAACCACAACCCTCCCTCTCTGAGGCCACAGTGTCCTCCACAGAAACGCTGTTAGTCTTGCCTGTTGATACCACCTCTAGAGCAGTTTTGGGGGAAGCGTCCTTTTTTCTTCCTCTTTGGCACACAATTATGGGCAGGACCGTATGGTAGCTCCACACAAGACTCTAAATATGAAGGCTCAGCTCTGGGAAATACAGAAACTCAGTACATTGCTGTCCTACATCATAGACGACTGCCTAATCCAGGAAGACCCATATGTTGCTCTTAGTGGGCTGGGCCAGCACACTCCATGGCCTGGCTTCGTTTGATCCCTGCAGATAGCATCTGGCAGAGATTGGGATGCCTTGCTCACCATTAAACTCCAAACACCTTTATTATCAGCACTGGCAGCAGCCTGATGCCTCAGAAGAAGAACCCTGATAGTCTGGAACTGATCCGTGGAAAAGCTGGACGTGTGTTTGGACGGGTGAGCCTGCTAAAGAAAGAAGTGGAAAAGGGGAACTGCTTAGAGGCGGGCTAGTAAAAGCCTAAAAGGGAGATAATCTCCTCCTTCAAGGAGATTTTCTCCAAGGCTCTGTGTAAAGAAATGTGCCCAGTCTTGGCTCTGGATATCTCTGCTGGGGCAACACGCTTCTCTTCCTATAGCTTAGTGCCTGTTCTTCCCTGCAGTGTGCCTCTATTCTCATGGTTCTCAAAGGACTTCCAAGCACCTACAACAAGGATCTGCAGGTAAAAGAAATATTTGCTCTCACTCCATTTCTCTGAAAAGACACAACTGTCTTCTGATCTGCAAGCAGTGCTTGCCACTAGCTTTCCCTGCACGGGACCTGCTGGGGTGCAGGATGCTAAAAAAAGGGGATAAGGCACTGCACGCAGCCCTCAGGGGAGCCCCGCAGATGTCAGCGCCTGCTCTGCCGGCCGCGCTGCTCAGGCTGCTGGCCTTTTTGGCTGCTTCAGGTTGACTTACTGCAACTTCCATCCATGTTATCACGCAGGAGGACAAGGAGGCTGCCTTTGATGTGGTGGATACCCTCACTGCTGG